CATCTTTTAATAGCATTTGGATGGGGTTAAACTGTATTGTACATTGTGGACGCTGAGTGAAGCCTGCTGCAGCTGCTGGACAGCCTCTACAGCACACAGAGCTCCATATTCTGCACAGGATTTTCTGCTTGCACAGTTTATAACTGTCAGCACTTTGTTCCTCGTTGTTTGTGATTCTTGGTTTATTTAAAATATGTTGTATATTTAATTGTTGTATATGTTTATTAAAATATGTTGTATATGTTTATTTAAAATAACTTGTATGTTATTTGTTTACCCAGCCATAATTATAAAAATTAATAATATAACTTGTAATAGTAGCAATAGTAATACCAGAATGGAAAAAAATAACATTTAATCAAAATAACCCAATGCATTGAGTTAAAATAACCCATAGTTGGGAAGGTGCTATAATAACCTATAGTTGGGCTACATGTTGGGGTATTTTTAACCCAACTATTTTAACAGAGTGGGGTTTGAAAGACTCACCCTCCTTCTGCCAAGTCCAGAATGTTGTCCCTATATGAGCTTATTTGTCCTGTTTTTGACAGTATGGCATCATAAATTGTGAAAATAACCAATAGAAGAAGGCTTTAAGAAGAATGACCAATAAAAATAACCAATAGCAGAAGGCTTTTATTATTGAAATGGACAAATTCTGACTGAGAAAATGTTTGTAAACAAAAAATAGCATGATAGCGCTTTGACAAAAATGTATATGCATCAAAAAGTGTGGTAATGATAACCATCTGACAAGCTAATCCAGCATAAAGTAGTGCTTAAATATGTCCACTTTATGAGAAAAAAAAGAACCAACCAGTTTTAATAGGCTGGCTAGGGGCCTGACACTGTTCATACTCATGCTAGTAAGTACATTAACAAATAGACCATTGTTTTAATGTCATCACCTCTGTTTTTCAGAAGATTTTAGTAGGCTAGTCAAGTAATGTAAACATGTAATAATAAACATGAAAAAGCAGCAAATATGGAAGAGAGATCTAACCTGAGGATATGGGGTGAACGACCACCAGAGAATGACTCCCTCAGGGATAAGCAGTGCTCACAGCAGCAGATATAGATCCAAGTGTCAAAGGTCAGGCCTGAAAGACTATGTGAGGTTGCTGTGATGTTAATTTGCGAGGTCATGTTTAGCTTTAAACTGTAAATGTGGGGCAGGCCAATATAAAATAAATAAATTCGTATTCTGTAAAAAAAGGACTTTGTTACTTATTAATTACTGCTGTGATATCTTAGCTGCATATTTCCACCGCCTGATGCCTTGACTAATATGATACAATTTCTGTATCGTGCGTGCGCACACACACACACACGCACGCACACACACACACACACACACATGCACAGCAACAAATGCCCCAAAACAAACATTCACATTTTGAGAGGATTTGACAAACAGCTACTTTAAACAACACAAAACAAACAAACAAAAAATCACACCAACTTGCCTCTCACCAGAACGCTATAGTGAGGTTATATTGTGTGAGCTCACACACACTGCCCCGCACAGGAACGCACAGATATAAACACTGCAGCCAAAATGATCAACAAAGCTAATAGGTAGGCCTTTGTTTTGTCCAACATTATTATTTATTTAGGCCTATCTATCTATCTATCTATCTATCTATCTATCTATCTATCTATCTATCTATCTATCTATCTATCTATCTATCTATCTATCTATCTATCTATCTATCTATCTATCTCTTTGTTTGTTTGTTTCGATGTATTATTTAGACTGATATAATTGTCAAATTGTTATTATTGAGCTAAACGAATAATAAAATGTTACAGTATTTCATGTGTTGTATTGATTGCAGAGCACTGTCTGCTTATGAAAGAACAACGCATTACATGTGGAAATATCCGATTAAATGGCGTATTCAACGCGCGTTGTTCCATTGAGCGTCTTTACAATCACGGTTGTTCCGCTGTTAATGCCTTTATGTAGCTATGATCATCTCGGTTGGTCAGTGCTGTCCCATGGCGTTGAAAGGCCGCAGAGCGCCTGATCCTCTGCCTCGCTTATGTCATGCCGCCCACCGCCCACCGAGCACGTCGGTCCGGCCGCAGTGCGCTGGAGAGCGCTACGGTGATTGAAGTCTCGACCGCCTGTTGAGGACTTGCCCAGCAGGAGTACAGTTCAGGGGGACGAGTGGAATAATTATCATGTTATTTAAGGGTGATTTACAACACAAGACCACGTTTGGTCCGCCGTGGAACTGTTGTGCTTACAGTTTGACTAAATGATTGTTATGCTCCTTGGAAGCTACATACTGAAAAGCCTATTGTTTTCACACACTTTTGTGTATTTAAATATGTTGTATTTAAAATGTATTAAAATAGCTAATGTCCGAAATGTGTAAATTAATATCAAACAATTATGTTTGACATATTGTACTTATGATTTAGATAAAATGTCACAACACGTGACAGCCTGTGTATTAAACATATACAATTCATCTTTATTTCTTATGATTTTATAATGTAGATTGTGTCAAAGCAGCTTAACATAGATGAGGCTCTAAATTAACGTTCTAAAGTTCAGTTTTAGTTCAGTTCAGTGTAACTATCGCTTGTGAAACATATCTTTCTCTTTGCAACAGAGTTTAATCTCTTACCATCAATCTTTTTATATGTATTTACATTCATTTCCTTTTGTCTTTACGTGTTTTTTTAGTCTGGATACATGGTTAGTTCCTGTGGCAGCATCCTTGGGCAGATTTAGTGTTTTTGGGGCCCTAAGCTATGCCAGCCCCAAGTCCAGAAATGCACCCTTTCTACTTTTATTTATTTTTTATTTATATTGCTGTTTGTTATATCACTCAATCTTCTTTTCGACATTTTAAATGAATGCAACCTCTACATTTTAAATGTTTTGCTGGACTGCTCCATGATGGATATTTTATTTTGTAGTATTATTATTACATAGCATTACATTATTAGTATTATATTTGGTTGTATACTAAATAATATTTATTATATTAAACTCGTATTTGTTTAACCCTCATCATACAAAATATGATAGAAAAGGATGTTATATATAGTTTATAGGTATCATTTGTACTTATTTATTTATCGGGGCCCCGATTTCCTGGGTCCCTAAGCAGCTTAACTCGCTTATTGGTTAATTCCGCCACTAGCAGCATTTCCATACAAACCAGCCCTGGTCTACTCAATTTAAAGATAAAACAGTCATAAATAAAACAAACATACTGCTTTAATTTGCCCTGCACTTAAAACACTTAGCGTTGTCAGCTGATTACTAGACTTTTTTTGTCTCATTTCTCTTCAGCATGCAGTCATCTGGTGTACAGTGGCTCCCGAAATGGATTTTCACCCTTAATACACACACACACACACACAAGCAAATGACCTCCGTGAAGTTGGCACCCCATAAAAACAAATAATCCCCATTTGTTTGTGCTGTTTTGTGCCACTAAAATAGTTTTACATAACAAAACCACAAAGTGGCATTTATTTTAAAGGAACTCTTAACACTCTTAACTTGCATACCAGTTCGAAGAAGAACCTTTAACATTTATGAAAACCTTTCATTCAATAATAGGATCTTTAATGTGTGCAAATGTTCTTCAGATTATTAAAATGTTACTTTTACGAAGAAAAAAATAATCTTTTAAAAACTATTAATTGAAAGATTTGCTGATGAATCAAAAATGGCCCTTTATGATATCAATTCCTTATAAGTTTTATTTTCAATAAACAATTAAACAACATATTCACCTGTCTATCAATAGGTTGGGGGTCGAGATGCTGACTCTTCAACAGTAGCACATTTTACTGACATTGCTCTCCAATCTTTATTGTCATTTACAGTGCTCAGCATAATTGAGTACACCCCATTTTCCCCCCACAGCCCAAAGACATGTGGTACAGGTGAATTGGGTAGGCTAAATTGTCCGTAGTGTATGTGTCTATGAATGAGTGTGTATGGATGTTTCCCAGAGATGGGTTGCAGCTGGAAGGGCATCCACTGCATGCATAAAACATGCTGGATAAGTTGGTGGTTCATTCTGCTGCGGCGACCCCAAATTAATAAAGGGACTGAGCGAAAAGAAAATGAATGAATGAATCAAGCAAAATACAGCAAAAAAATAAATAAATAAGTAAATAAAAATAAATAAATAAATAAATAAATAAATAAACAAATAAATAAATAAAATAGAATAAATACAGCCTACAAAACTTTAACATTTATTTTTTTCCGCTTCTCTTGATTCTTCTCTTTTTAAAATTTGTATTTAATATTTTTCTATAACATAAATTTGGGTTTATTCGTTTTTAGACCATTATCGTGAGTTCTTTTATTAGATAAGCTCCAAATTTGGGATATGCACAAATATAATATTGTATAGATTCCTATAAAAAATATGTATTTAAAAGATAAGGTGTACTTATATATGCTGAGCACTGTAGCTGATTATTTGCTATTAGTAATACTTTAAATGCATGACTTTAATTCAGGCAAAGCCCATTCCATGTTATTAAAATGAACAATGCAGATGTTTATTATACTATAACGCAATAATGATTCAATATTTACCTATATTAATTTAGCATTTTGGCACATTCTGTTGAATATTGAACATGTATAATTAACCTGTAGTGTTTGCTAGGACAATGGGAATATAATAAAAAAGTTAATATATTAACAATTAGTAGTTGCTGTAAAGGGGCTATGCAAACACCGGACAAGTCAAGTTACCAATGATAAAAGCCATTTTCCCACAAAACATTTTAAAATACAAAATATGTTGGCAAACACTTGGACCCCTCCAATGTAAGGCAATGTGTTAATGTATCACTTTAGCCCGCTTTAAATCGGATATTGTTGCACATTACAGCCAACTTATTATCAGAAAAAAAAATTGATTTTACACCGGAAAACCGATGGCAAAACTCGCAGACTACGCTACGCTGTGTCAAGAGCGTCCCGTCCTTCCGATGAAACGAAAGGCTCCGCGTTTGTAATGCTCGAGCGTGTGTGTGTGTGTGTATGTGATAAGGAGGTGGGGGTGAGAGACCCCGTTGTGTTTTGACCCCCTAAACAACTCCCATTCTCCATCTCTCACTCTCTCTCTGGTTTAAAGCTCCATCGCTCATCGTGGGGAGACGCATTCGAGCCCAACGCGTCGCTTCATAGACATCAGTAGCGCGAAAAGGACCCGACATCATCCCAAACGCGCCGCTAATGCTGGATACTCGGCCCGGTTCACGCTTCTGCTGCTACGTTCTTATTAAGGTGGGGTATATTTACTGCTCGTCTTCTCATCATATTCCACTATATCTTTAACGTAATACTATATGCATACCATGTCCGTGGGTAAAATTATCAAATTGTTATGGATAAACACAATAACAGTCATTTCGCATTCAATCTAGAGTAACACTTACGCTGTTATTTAGGTGGATACTTTTAAAGTGAAAAGCAATCTTGTCCACTAGTCTTATGTTTGCTTGCATACTAAGATGCTCCAAAATGGAGATGCTTTTGGACCTGAATATGAATATGGGTCGCTACATGTTTGTTCCAGTGCATGCTCTGGTTGTAAAATGTGTTTATGCTTTAGTTATTGTAGAGTATCTCCCGGTCTGACGTGTGTTGTCCTCCGTCAGTGAGTGTGTGAGCTCGGCTTCCGTATCGCATGGATAAGAGGGTAGGTGCTGTTTATTCCCTTTTCCTGGTCTTTTTTCTTGTTAGTTTGATGCAGTGATGATGATTAAATAATCTAGAAAACAACACATGGGCTATAAACAGCAGGTGAAAGTACAAACAAAAAGTACATTTAGCAATTGTTAGAATTTTAGCTGACAGTGTCTTACACTAACAAGCACTGCACAGTTTTGTAATACCTTATAATTCATTAGTACCAAATAAGAAAAAAAAAATGCTATTATTTACCTTTGATTAATATGTTTTTGTGCTGGCCTATATTTTATTTGGAAGATATTGTGTGCATAAAGGTGCTTTTATAAACTCAGCTGCACCGTTTAAATCCATATTAAAATCAATTATGTATTAAAAAAAGAATAAAAGGCAAATGTCAGATGGAGTGGTGTAGAAAAATCACATTCAGGCCCTTAGAAAGGCAGATGAAGTCGGTAAGTAGGTCAACTTTTGTGCTACAGTGAGCGGCCAAATGGAAATTCTTGTTGCGTTCTGTGCCTTCTTAGAAATGATAGTTATGATCCTGTTAATTTAACAACAGTCTATTCAGCCTCGGACTAAGATCTTGTATTTGGGCCGGCAATAACTCTCATTATGAGTAAAATATTTCTTAAAAATTCAATGTGACTTAATGGTGTGTTTATTGTCAATAAAAACCTGCTAAAATTATAGTATAGATTTGGATAATTTAAATCCAACATAGATTAATTTGTGTATTATTGTTTGAGGCTTTACGTTTTAGTGCAGTGCACATTCATTTTTTCATTTATTTTAGAAAAAGCAAAGCTGAAGCATACAGAGAAAAATTCTGCTTATATTTTGGTCATATTCAAATATGTTTAGTTTGCTTAAAATAATACATTTGTAATAATAAATGGTACTTAATTTTTAAAAATCTATAAAACAGGTCTTATTACTAATGCTATGCTATGTATGTGACCGCTTCTTTATGCTAAAACATGGGTAATTCTTTTAAGTTATAGTTATTTGAAATAGTTTTACAATAAATATTATTTACTGTTGAAAATGCTGCCATGAATATCACAGAAACCCAGCTTAAAAAATTGAAGCCAAATTAAAATTAAAATGGTGTCATCTAGTGCGCTAAAAAGAAGTAAGAAGTCAACGGGGAACTTAAATACTACAGAAAAGGCTGATTATTTGTAGATGTCTGGAATGTTTTCAGCTAAAACCGTACTTTTCAGAGGCTTATATTAAGTAATGTTATTAGTAATGATTGCAGCATCCACCTCAGTAATAGATGAGCGGTCATTGGAAATGGCTTCGATGAAATTTATAGCTGTGCAGTCAGATTTCCTTTCTGATTATTGATTATGTCACAATCTGGCTCGCAGTTCTTCTTCTTTTATGTTGTTTTTAAAATTTAAATTTATTTAAATTTTCATTGCTTTGCCTTGCCTTTTATGATCATATCTGAATATGTTATTAATCAGAAGGCTTACTGTATAACCAGCTAATTTGTGCAAAAGTGAAGGCTGGATAACTTTATGTATTCGTATGTAACGCTGTTAATTATAAATCAGTTGGAAGGTTTTTTTTTCTCGGGTGAGTTGCTTGGCATTCTGAAAAATCGCACATCAAAGCCTCCCCGCAACCAGTGTTTATTAAGGAGGAGAAACAATTAGCAGTGACTTCAAACAGCCTCTCGCTAGTTCACTCAGTCAAATGTACTGTCAATCCTACATAAACCTAAAAGTGAAAACGAATTTCCCACACATGGTGCATCTCACACTAACATAAGGCTGTGTTTCATCTTTTTCATTTGGTCTTATGCTATCTATGCGTATCTAGTATGAGGAGTTGGTGCAGTACCCAGGCTCTGACGCCATGCCTGTGGGAGGCTACAGGGACACCATGAGGTCACTTCCTCCACCTCACTATGGCCACACTGTGCCTGACTCTCTGAAACACCACCGGGACCAGATCTATGGGTGAGAGTCAGGTTACTTTAACCATCTGTTACAGTAAGATGGATGAGAATGCTGCGTTATTTTCATTTATGTGTCAGAACTTGTCGTTTTGGCATCATGTGAGTTCAAGTGATTTGTGTCAGAATAAGATGCAAAAGCATTTTAAACAAATACTATTTATAATTATTTTTTTCACACACATTTTTGTGTATTAAAATTACACTTTACTAGATGTTAAAAATTGTCACCGCACAAACTGACATATTGTAGTATTTTCTGGCTAGTTATTTGTATACAGTGTTTACAAACTAATTGTCTGGGCTAGACTGAATCTGCAGACATTTTTTGCTATTTCTTCGCAGAATTTCGTCAAACTTCTGTGGATTATGCGGAATGATTTTGGGAGTATCATAACAAAAAACTGAATATATGAAACAAAGAATAATACCTTTTTAGCTTATTTAATGTTTACAATGTAATTCCAATTAGATCTTATTTGATAAACAAAGCAAGTCTTTCATATTATAAATATATATATATATATATATATATATATATATATATATATATATATATATATATATATATATATATATATATATATATATATATAGATACATACAGTTAAAGTCAGAATTATTAGCCCCCCTGAATTATTAGTGCCCCTGTTTATTTTTTTCCCCAATTTCTGTTCTGTTGTGGAAAGATTGTTTCAGCACATTTCTAAGCATAATAGTTTTAAAAACGTATTTATAATAACTGATTTATTTTATCTTTGCCATGATGACAGTAAATAATATTTGACTAGATATTTTTCAAGACACTTCTATACAGCTTAAAGTGACATTTAAAGGCTTAACTAGGTTAATAAGCTGAACTAGGCAGTTTAGGGTAATTAGGCAAGTTATTGTATAACAAAGGTTTGTTCTGTAGATTATCGAAAAAAAAAAAAGCTTAAAGGGGCTAATAATTTTGTCCCAAAAATGGTTTAAAAAAAATTAATAACTGCTTTTATTCTAGCTGAAATAAAACAAATAAGACTTTCTCCAGAAGAAAAAAAATATTATCAGACATACTGTGAAAGTTTCCTTTCTCTGTTAAAAATCATTCGGGAAATATTTAAAAAAGAAAAAAAAAATTCAAAGTGGGATTTAAGTTGCACAGAAACAATAACTATTATTAGCAGTGTTGCAGTTTCTTACCCTGCAGTGTTGTCTTACTGTGAACATATGTGTGTTGATTTGCAGTCATCCTCTGTTTCCTCTCCTGGCTCTCGTATTTGAAAAGTGTGAACTTGCCACTTGCTCACCACGAGACTCCACCTCCATGTCAAACCCCGCCCACCTCCCTGGGATGACCAATCACAGTGATGTCTGCTCCTCTGACTCGTTCAACGATGATATTGCAGCCTTTGCCAAACAAGTGAGTCACTCAAGCACAGCACATCAAGGCCAATCGTAAACTAGAAGGATAATAGAAGTCATTCATTCATGTTCTTTTCGGTTTAGTCCCTTTATTAATCCAGGGTTGCCACAGCGGAATGAACCGCCAATTTATCCAGCATATGTTTTACACCACTGGTCACCAAACTTGTTCCTGGAGGGCCGGTGTCCTGCAGATTTTAGCTCCAACTTTAATTAAACACACCTGAACAAGCTAATCAATGTCTTACTTGGTGTACTTGAAACATAAAGGCTGGTGTGTTAAGGCAAGTTGGAGCTAAACCCTGCAGGGACACCGGCCCTCCAAGACCAGGATTGGTGACCCCTGTTTTACACAGTGGAAGCCCTTCCAGCTGCAACCCATCACTGAGAAACACCCATTCACTCACATACACTATGGACAATTTAGCTTACCCAATTCACCTATAGCACATGTCTTTGGACTTGTGGGGAAAACCGGAGCGTGCAGAGGAAACCCTTGCGAACATGAGCAGAACATGCAAACAAATGCCAACAGACCCAGCTGGACTCGAACCAGCAACCTGCTTGCTGTGAGGCGATCGTGCTACCCACTGCGCCACCGTGATGCCCCCGATAATAGAAGTATAATTCATTCATTCATTTTCTTGTTGATTTGTCCCTTTCTTAATACGGGGTCGCCACAGCGGAATGAACCACCAACTCATCCAGCACGTTTTTACGCAGCGGATGCCCTTCCAGCCGCAACCCAAAACTGGGAAATAGAAGTATAATAATAAAATATAATAATAAGTTATAATAAACTCAGTATAATTGAGTAATCCATTTACATGTAATGTTTTTTTTCTGGACAATTTTTACAAGACAAAACTCTGGTTGAACAAAACATCAGACTCATGACTCAATTCAACTCACAATTCAAAATCAAAAGGTAGCCTTTTCTGAATTTTAAGACATATACAGTTTGTAAACACGCACATGAATCTGGGATCTACAACTCATCATCTTAGACTAGTTTAAATATTTAAGGCAGCAGTCTAGTAGTGTTCCTTTGAGAGGGGTCTGGATGCAGACCTGACGCAATGCTGCATCCAATGCTTTTTAATGCGCACACCTAACCCCACCCAAAAACCCTAGCCCTCACAGTGACGTCAGTAGCTTCTTTGAAATATCACTGAAATTTGCAGTCTCAGCTTGCATCATCCAGATACTATTGGTTCATTTATGGCCTGTTTCCACTGAGTGGTACAGTAGGGTATGGGTCGGTTCGGTCACCTTTATGAGGCTTGCATTTCCATTGCCAAAATGGTACCAATGGTGGGAGTAGTGTACGACAGAAAGCTTCAGTCGACTTCATTCTCGCTCGAGGAAATGTCAAAGTAAATCTGTATGGGTCGTTTACATATCATATGAGAAGCACTTCTCACTAAACAAATGCTTTATACACATAAATACTTGTTTATACTGTGTATAAATGTTCATGACTAACCTTTCTATGAACATAACTTGATTATAACTGATAAATCAATTATCAATGATAAAAATAGTCTACTGTAACGTCTGCAATTATAAATTACAATTAACATTATAAATGCAACATATATCCAATATGTTACTAATTACAGAAAAACTACACACAGCTAACATTTAGTCCTTATTTGGCTTTAAAACACACAACATATAGCTCACAGTCAGTGCAAACCTCTAATCGGTATCTTTAATCTTAACCTCTGTTAGAAAGTAATTCTGTCATTCCGAGTTCATAATAGTCCAGAAGGTGATGATAACAGTTTAACATGGCAGTTATTTCATCTTTTAGGTTGCTGAAACAATCATTTGCTCCTTTGTTTTTCCGGCCTCTCCTTTGTTTTTTCTTTGTTTATTCGCACTTCCTTTACGCGTTTGTCTGTTTCTGAAAGGATCGGATGTCAGAAGTACTTCAAATCAAACACACGTTATTATTATCAGCTCAAGAAATTCGTTATTTCAAATATAGGCGCGTGGCGAGCACTATGGAGAAAGAGCAACCTCTTTCGCACTTTTAGATGTCCTCATAAAACAAAAACAGGACAAGGCAGATTTGGTTTTTCTTGACTTTGTGGCTGTTCATCAAGACGACGACAAGGTTAGTTTGAGAAAATGGTGGTTTCTTTGTTTTAATTCTCCTGGCTTGTTGCAGGAGCGAGTGATGTATCTCTGTTAACCAATAGCGTCCAGTTGGGCGTCTAGCTCCGCATTTTGGTACTCTTTGCAAAGTATACCTAAAAAGTAGTAAGGTACGGTTCGCTTTTAGGTACCTTTTGACAGTGGAAACGGACATAAAAGCCTTCCGAACTGAACTAAACCGTACTGTACCATACCACTCAGTGAAAACGAACCATATGCTATAGTAGTAAAATACCTGCAGAACTGCATAGATATTAAGCATCAAAGCCAGACTCTAATGTTTTTTTCTTTCTTTCTGCAATTCTGTTAGATTCGATCAGAGAAACCCATATTTTCATCAAATCCAGAACTGGATAATCTGGTAAGACATACAGCACATGTGATTAAAATAATAAAAAAATGTTTTCATGTCATTTTGAAGCATTTATCAACAAATTGTCTCTTTTAACAGATGATCCAGGCCATTCAAGTTTTACGGTTTCATCTATTAGAACTAGAAAAGGTATTTTTATCCTAGACTGTGAACCATTTTTATTACTGTATTTCATTATTTACTGCAATTGTTCATCGGATCTCGTTCACGCTTGTTTAATTTTAAATGTGACATGATAGGTATGCTATTAGCTTAGCCCCAAAGAAGCCCACCCTGAACAACCCCCCTTCATGGATTATTTGCAAGGCAGTTACATTATTTTATAAATGAGTAACGGATAACAATGCATTTATTGATTATTAAACAAACTGTATGAACAATGTTTGACAGAGCATGGAAATGTTCACAGTATGTCTGATAATATTTTTTTTCTAGAAAAAGTCTTATTTGTTTTATTTTGGCTTGAATAAAAGCAGCTTTGAATTTTTTAAAAACTATTTTTGGGACAAAATTATTAGCCCCTTTAAGCTAATTTTTTTTTTTCCGATAGTCTACAGAACAAACCATCGTTATAGAATAACTTGCCTAATTACCCTAACCTGCCTAGTTTATCTCATTAACCTAGTTAAGCCTTTAAATGTCACTTTAAGCTGTATAGAAGTGTCTTGAAAAATATCAAGTCAAATATTATTTACTGTCATCATAGCAAAGATAAAATAAATCAGTTATTAGAAATAGGTTTTTAAAACTATTATGCTCAGAAATGTGCTCAAACAATCTTCCCTCCATTAAACAGAAATTGGGGAAAAAAATAAACAGGGGCGCTAATAATTCAGGGGGGCTAATAATGCTGACTTCAACTGTATATGTTTATAAGTTTAGTGTTGTCAACATACTGGCATTTGTAAATTCAATACTTTGCGGATATTGATATATTGATATTCAGTAGGCTAATATTTTTAATAAAATAAAAATTGCTAGAAATATGTTCACTTAAAATTTCTTTAGAGGGAGTTTTTTTTCCCAGTTTTTGCCAAGATAGGCTGATGAGGCCATTGTGGCACTTTCAATCCTTGTTTCATTCATACTGGGCGCTCTTGAGCAGAAATTCCATATATGCTTCACAAAGGTAGTAGATTTCCATTCCAGGAAATCCCTAATATGGATAAAGGCATACAGCTATTGCTGTTGGTGAATGAATGAAAATAAGATCTGAATGAAAATGAAAAAGCTTTAACTGACCATTTACATGACTGCGACAATAAATGGTCTTTATGTGTTCTTCCAGCCATCTTACGTATTTTCATAAGAATAAAGTTGATTTATAATCCGATGCTAACTGACATAGCATGTTACAGAATATAGTTAAAAATAACATGAGATGACACATGACACAAAAGCTGCGTTTGGTGGAATGCACGTGATGTGGTAATTTCAAGTAATTAGATAACTAAATAAATGTTATACAACCTAAGTGCAACATATTCCAAAAGATTCCTTTAGATAATACATCAGGGGCTTAAGCCTCCAAAGCACCCCCCCCTTCCCACTGCCGTAGAGAGAAAAGGTGTATCAAACTTGTTTTAGACATGGATATTTCTTCTTGCAATATTCTTAGCTTTAATTGTATGTGAAAATAAAACACGAACATCCTGTCAGAATCATTGATCCTGATATCTATACTTGTCTCTCGAAGGTTCATGACCTCTGTGATAATTTCTGCCATCGCTACATCACCTGTCTAAAGGGTAAGATGCCCACTGATTTGGTGCTGGAAGACCGAGAGGGTGGATCTAAATCTGACATGGAAGACTTCACTGGTTCTTGTACAAGTCTGTCAGAACAAGTGGGTCATCAGGCAGCTAATACCTATCAACAAGGTAGTTGTTTTCTCGTGTTATGTGTCTGAATGCGTCTGTTTTCTCTGATCTAGAATCAGTCTTGGTTGCGAGACCCAGATGACTGTGTGTCAACCCCCTCAGGGACCCCCAGTGCCTCCTGTGGGCTCAACTCACACAGTGTGGAGAACTGCAGTGATGCTGGTATGTTTTGTTTTACTATGTTCTACTATGTTCTAAACAAAATCCTATGTGAATTTTGTTGTGTAGGGAGCCAAATTTGCTAAAAACTTGCACAGGGCAAACCTTTATTTGGTGTTTGAAAGCTACTGTCAAGGTTTACTAAAGATAGGCAGTGAAAAATCTGCATATTGAGTTTATTTGAACTTATTTTATTAAGATTAACCTCTTGAAATGTACCATCCCATTTTCTAACCCTAACCCATAGTATATTGCAGTCAAAATAATAAAAACGCAAGAACTACAAATTACACAAGACCAACGAATCAACAACAACAAAACAAACATTAACAGTAGGAGAGAAAAGCATCACAAGATTATCAGAGGGGAAAAACATCATATAAAATATACTTCGAAATATACAGATCATTCATTCATTCATTCATTCATTCATTCATTTTACTTTGGCTTAGGCCCGATCCCAAGTCTACGCCTTCCCCTTACCTTACCACATTCACATGAAGGGGTAGGGGTGTCCCAATTTTTTTTAGCTTCAAGGTGTAGGGCTAAAGGGAAGGACTAGATACCCATTGAAACAGAAATTTCTCTGGACCACACTCGAAACCAAGGGCTAAGAAAATTTCCCAGAATACACCACTTACAACGGCAGCATGGCTGCTGACTGAAGTAAGGAGATGCACAAATTTGTATTTTTTGTCATTATTATGAACTTTTACCACGACAAGCATGTTTTAATTAGTGGTGGGCTGTTATAGGCGTTAACATGCTGCATTAACACGAGACTCTTATCGCGGCATAAAAATATCACCGTTAATCTATTCTCAAAGTTGGGTTGGGAGCTGGGTCTATTCTACGCAAGCTATGGCGACTTTTTACCTTGATATTTTAGTGCGGATGTATGACAAAAAAGTGCCCCTCTGAATCAAATCTGCAGAATGCCTTTCTTCAGTTCAGCAGTTTCACTTTCACTCATGATCATTTCATTCATGCCCCCTTAAGCAAACTTGGGTAGGAGTGGGACTGGTAGGAGTGATACCGTATGGTCTGTTAACAGAATTGGCTCTGGCCGCCCTGGAGACAACGCTGTCTGCCTTCAGCTCCGGCGGCGAGAGCGTCAAAACTCGCCACGTTGATCTCGTATTTAAAGGAGCCGTTGCAGCATATCAGTTACATTCCTGCATAAAGCATGTTTCTAGCGTGAAAATGTTGCGCAATTCTTATTAAATTCATATAACAATGGAAGGTCAAGTTGCGTGTGGTGTGGCTTTGCTCTATTTATCCAATATGTGTCCACATGTCTGAAATATCCTGAAGCAGCTATACTGTTTTGTACTGTCACATCACGTGAGATTCCCGCTTTTTTGAGATAAAAATATAGAACATTAATGCACATCAGTAACTCGCCAGTAACTTATTTAATCCATGTTCCTGTAAGAAAACATTGTAAATAATTGAAAATCCGGCGACCGCAATCATCAAACCCTTGGGAACAACTGTGGCCGGAACCAAAGTTCACAGGTCTGTGTTCTCTGAACTCCTATCAAGCGGTGGACGTCTTCATTCTGATTACTTTCCGCCAAACCGCGTTATAGCTCATTACCATAAAGTTGGCTTGATTTCAACTCTCCTCGATGCTCACGCCGCCGGCTCTCTTTGAACATACGCCGCTTTCGGTGTGAACATACGGTTATGGAATTCAATAACGCACACTAAATGGAAAGAAAAAAAAAACTTCTGCATTTCGTGATATGTGTGTGTGTGTGTGTGTGTGTGGAGTCCTTTACTGACAGCCGCGTGTGTGGATCTTGTCGGAAAATAGGGCAAAAAGTCCTATATGACGGTAATAGTTTGATTGCGGTGTTTACTTCAATAATGCCACTAATATATGCATACTCCACGTCTTAATTCCATTTCTGTTTAGTTCAGTTATGACATATGGCTGAGTTTTTGACTTATGTAGGCCGAAAGTTCAAAATTTATGTTTAACTGAGTAAACAGTTAGTAAACACAAGTACATCTTATTGAACATCATTAATTTTCATCACCAATTTTCATAGTAGACCAGTTTCTTAAGCAGTCTGTGATGCATTTTGGAAACAGGAGATGAGCCCCTGGTCTAATGCGCCACCTGGCCTGAGAAACCCTTTCTCAAAGACTTATTATTAGGGTAGCACACATATTCTGAATGCCTTCGTCAGAATGCAAATTAGCCATTTTAATCTTGATTAATCTAGGTTTATTCCAAGATAACAGTAAGATTAATGTAGATAAATAAATTAATCTATGCCCACCTATAGTTTTAATACATTCATGACTGCGTTCGTGTGTTTCTGTCATGGTTTAAAATGCTAAAATTAAAACCCACAACATTCTGTCACTCGATGACACTCAAATACTCTGTCAAAAAAGTCTAGTGGATGGGAATGCGCTTTTTACAGTGTCTGGTATGACGTTAATGCTGTTTTTGTGTTTACATAGATGAATATGGCTATGGTGTAAATGCACAGTACAGTTACAATTTTATTACCACATTATATTGTTATGATAACATGATATATGCCTTCAGTGATTTCCTCAAGATAAATACTAAAAAATAACACAACTGAAATAACTACAGCAGTCGTAATTGTTGATCTCATATAAAGCAAGAGATTGCGATGACATATAATGACGTGTGCAGTTTTTGTAGTCCTGTCCCATTTCTTAAGCCTCCTTTCCACTGCACACGACAAACGACAAGCGACAGACCAGAAGTCATTCATTTCCAATGGAGAGCAGTCCGGGAGCTGCGTGGAGTTCCAATCATCTCCGTATGCGGAAAATTCGGATCCGAATTGAGCTGCAGTTCCGTTGAAATATTTTAACTCCTGCGACTAGACCGTATGCGACCTGCCGACCGGATATGATGTATTCCAGTTTTGTCCAAGCAGATCCGTGCGCGCGAGATGAAAAATAGGAGTTTATTTGGTTATTTCTTAAATTGTAAAAAGTCTATATTAAAAAATAAACTTTTCTGTTTATAAATGTTGGTAAGAAAGTAATTAAAAATATATTTTTAATGTTGTCTCCACATTCCCTCCGATATTTTAGCGGTCTATGAGTTTCTAGTATTCATTCATCCATTAAACTATGTAAACGCACAGAGAATAAAGGCTCTTGCTTTTGCCCTCCTTTATTTCGGACACCAGCTTCTCCCCCGTGGTGCACGACAACACTGAAAATACTGTGCGGCTGCCACAAGGGGTCGTATTCCAACAGTCATGTCCGAATGTCGTGTGCAGTGGAAAGGCGGCTTTAGCGCTAAATTTTGAAGCCCTTCCCCTTCACACTCTGTTTCAAGGGCCAATGGAAAGGGGTAGAGGGGAAAAATAGTATTGGGATTGGGCCTTAGTCTCTGATTTATCAGAGGTTGCCAACTGCCAACTATGTTTTACGATGCCTCGAATAATCGACCTTCTTGCTGTGAGGCAACAGTGTAATTTTTAGCTCTTTGTAGCTGTTTTTGCTGCCTGTGCCTTTAACGCAAATGAGCTAGTTCTCCCTGCCCACCGTTCCCATGTGCTGGTCAGAGTGGGCCCCCGTCTCCTGCAGCGTCAGATGAACAGCACAGTGACATAGGCCCTGTTTACACTGTCAGGTCTTGATGCCCAATTCCGATTCGTTGCCTATATCAGTTTTTTGTCTGTCTGTTTACACGTTCTTTTAATTGTGACTCATATCCGATTCATATGTTTATACTTGCCATACAATTTATGACGCTGCGCATGCCAAAGGTGGGTTCTAGCATCTGCGCGACACTAGCCACGATGGAAGAAACTGTCTTGCTTTTAGCTCTGCAAAATAAGCAAAGTTCACCCAACTCTAAAATGATTTTGAGGCGGAGGAGGAGGTAAAGGGCCGTCATCGCAGCTTGCGCCTATGGTTGATACATGGTGTCCTCCACCATTTAAAGGAATTTGTGGGTACGAGAGATTTCAGGTCTGGTGGAAGCAAATTTTGGCGACTGACCACTTTCGTCCTCCATGTTTCCTCTGTTGTTGTTGTTTACCACGTCAGCATCTCCACATATGCTCTTCCTTCTACGTCATTAAACCACAGAGAGGTACCACAATGCCTCAAGAATCAAATAAATCTGCATGTTTACATGATTGTCAGATTGTCACATATCTGATTTATATCTGATTTCAAGAGTGCACACTTAGCTCTTGATTTATACATAGCTTGTTCGGCATGCTGTCCTGGAAGAGAGCCCTGAGCTCAAGCAATCCTCGGGCCCAGGGCTCACCCCTTTCACAGGGCGAGGGGAAATTGAGCTGTGGTCGATCTCAAACTCCCCTGCCTCTGATGCCAAGGTGAACTTCCTGAAAGTAGACACTAGAAAAAAGATCTAGGCTTATTTTATCTATAATATAGAGCATATTTGGACGGTTGGGAGGAAACGGGCGAGCCTGGGGGAAACCCACTTGGACATGGAGAGAACATGCAAACTCCGCACAGAAATATTAGATAGCCCAACGAGGACCCGATGCCATTGGTATTCTTCCTGTGAGGCAACATTGCTAGTCACCGGGCCCATTCTGGATAAAGGTGGAAGAATGGGAGGGGGGGGGGGGGGTTCTTTTAGACGTAGATAGTTGTAGAAAGGAAATGAGGATATATATATATATATATATATATATATATATATATATATATATATATATATATATATATATATAAAGGGACTTGGGATCCTTTGATTGGAGGATCATGATTAGCTAATGTGGGCCAGCTGGGTCAATCATGAGCACGTGCTCCTCACAAAATTTGTTTAAAATTAAACTTCACTTATTTCCACATATGAAGGAGGCCTGAAACTGATCTCTAAATCCCCGAATGCATCTGTTTTTTTCGTGTTTACACGGTCATAGAACAGAGCCGGAATTGGGTAACATTTGACTGGCAGTGTAAACGGGGCCTTAGATGAAGGAAGCAGATCTCACATAAAGTTTGTGAGAATTACTACAGTAAGAACTTTCCCAATGATTATTTGATGTATTTGTTGTGGAGTTTATTAAAGCCTTTCTGCAACGATGAGTCACACACAATGTCATTACAAAGTTCATGCACACACACACACGCATACAGTGGACACACACACACGGCGTGCTTGTGTTTAACTTTGCACTGTTTTTGCACGGCAAATGTGACAGGATACACATTAATATCCACTGCTCTATGGATAGCCGTTATGTTAATGTACAAAATAAACCTGATTTAACGTCCACAAACCAGGATTAAAGCATTTTCTTCTATAATTGTCCTGACATGCGGCAATCCTGACATGTTGATGAATTACATAGCGATTTTACCATCTTTAACTTACTTTATTACAAACATGTTTTAAAAACGTTTTAAAGTTATAAAACTAAAGCAGGTCGCACACCACGTATTTTAGAATTCTAATCATAGGTTTCTATCAGGATACACACACCGGCGCCGCAAGTCGGCGGCTGTCGGCGGCGCCCGGCGACGGCTCAGGACGCAGTTCATTTTTCAGCCGCGCCACAGAGCGCCATCTGATTAGTTTCATGTTAAATATCATTCGAATGTGCGCGTCTGGTGTGCGATACTTTAAACTGTCATGTACGCGCCGTGTCACGGCGCCGAGCGGCGCTTCTGGTGTGCGACCTGCTTAACTCTTGACCATATTTAATAATTATTGATGATCACAGAGCGCTGAACAGATCCCGGCTGCTTTGCGCACGTCCTGTCTTGTGGATATAATTATACGCGTTATTATGGCGACATGTTAATGCGCGGCTGTCAATCAATTCAGTGGGCGGGGAAAACCGCACTCTTATGTCACATTGCGATGGACCTCACAATTTAGGATTTGGATCCTATTTTAATGTCAGGAAATTAAAAAAAAAGACTTATTGTGTTTCTATCACACCAGTGTAACACACAGCTCTGTCCAAACAGCTTCCACAAGATGATTTTCATCATAGGTGCCCTTTAAGGGAAAAATAAAACATAGTTATAGTATGAGTATAGTATGCGAGTAGTATAGTATAGTATATAGTATAGCGAGTATAGTATGATTAATACGCAATTTAAAGGAAAGATCAGAATCAAGCCATACTCCAAGGTATTTATTAGTATCTTTACATGCACAAGAACAGCTGTTTAAGTTTTTAGGTGTGTTCGACTTCATGCAGCGCTGTGCAGATAGATCGATATCTGTCTGAACCTCGGCTCAGTTGGCATTTCTGTGAGGAGTTTGCATGTTCTCCCTGCGTTCTTCGGGTGCTCCGGTTTCCCCGACAGTCCAAAGACATACTGCAGGTTAATTGGGTAGGCTAAATTGTCCATAGTGTATGAGTGTGTATGTGTATGAGGGTGACAGGCCCAGACGACAGGCCTGCCGGAAGGTGTAAAAAAGTCGTTATCATATGGACAAGTCTAAATAAAGGACTTGTTCCAAAGAGCCGACCCCGCAACCATACGGGACTAAGGCCAAAGAAGAAAAAGAAGATTAAATTATTTAAATAATTATAATATATAAATATAAATATATATATATATATATATATATATATATATATATATATATATATATATATATATATATATATATATATATATATACATATAATTTCCTGTCAAGCCGTTTATGCACAAATTTTAAATGACATTGATGTACCTGCTCTTTCTGGAAAACGTCTGCCTAAAGTGTTGCTCACTTGTTTTAGGAATGTCCTTTTGTACAATCTTTTTGGATTAAAGTGCTTTATTGAAAATGTTTTCATTATCCAAAATAATCTTAATCATTGTTTAAGACTCAGTCAAAACTCCTTGTTTTGGGTTTTACATGAATATATATTGGCATGTTTTATATCTATAAATGTAAACAAATGTAAACCCCTTTTTAGCATAATCAAACAAGAAGTATTAGCCTAAAGACTGATGTTAAACTCCTACAATTTGTGCTTATTACTTTGTATTTAATAGTCTTATTCGTTTAAATGTTTACCCTCTTGTTTCCCCTTATTTCTCTCATGCGTTTGTTATATAGTTAATTCACAAATCCCGTATTGTTTAAAAATGAACTGTTGTTTGTATTCTGTTTCATCTGTACTGTAAATCATTTGTGGTTATAAATAAATAAAAATGATGTGATCGGTCATCAATCATGACTGCCGCAATTTTGAACCCTGAAGTGTCCAGCTGTCCGGCTTGACAGCTCCGTTTTCAACTCCGTCCCCGCTCGGCTAATCTCGTTAATCACCAGCTGCAGCCGTGCTTCATGCCGAACGCACCTTTTGTCTAATTAAATAGTGTGAATGATATATGATATATGCATTTGTTGGAGTTCCTATTTAGATTTAAAAGTCATGATTGGAGAGTATTAAATTGAAACACACAGTGCAATTTTCACTGTTATTAAAAATCCAAAATGTGTAACTCATTAGATGCTTAAAAGGTTAGTTGTAAGCTTTTAATGTGACTTGGCTCAAGACAAATTAAAGGGTCACGAAACACCAAAACACATTTTTTGAGCTGTTGACAGTCGTATATGTGTCCCACACTGCTAAAAACACTATTAGGACACCTATATTTCACTAAAAAGTGTAAATTGGTTGTTTTTGCGTTATTTTAAGCAAATTCGTACTTCCGGTTTGAAACGATTTTTTGAAGCTGCGTCACGGCTATGACATAATAGCATGTATTCCAGCGTGCAGACTGGGCGTCTGTGCCAGAGTGAGTCTTATTACGTCTTACAGTGTGATGCATTAATGCATGAGTAAGGCTTGGTTCAAACCAATCAGCGCGCTCTATTGTGCAACTTCATTAATATTCATTGCTGTCAGAGTGTAGACGGCAGAGACGCCACGTTGTATTGGCAAAACAAGCGTGAAGTGTTGCTGTTATTGTTTGCTGCAGTTAAGTTTCGTTTTCATTTTCTCTCATTTTTTCGCGACAACAATAACTTATGTGTCTAAGGAGGAACATTGTTTACCTGAGAGCTGTTCTCATCTGCAAACGCTGAGATCCCAGATTCGCTTGTAGTCTCCTCTTAATAAAGACGTGGCTCTAGTTGCTGGTGATTGTCCTGTCTCTACAGATTTGGTAAGTGAGTGATCAGTGCTCTTTGTTTATTCAGTTCGTATTTTATTCGTATCAAACAAACTATTGCACCAATGTAAACAAGTTAGCACTAACAGTTACAACCAAACTATAACCTCGTGTTGGATTTAGTGACGGGAATAACACACGCGGCTTTCTGACGCTACCTGCCGTGTGCATCTAAGTTTCCGGGAAACGCTGAGTTTTTTTTTCTCTCATTTGCCGTGCGGTATCAAACATTGCATGAAAATACACGCTTAGAGCAGTTCCTCGAATCAAATATTTCGTTTGTCGGGAGGGACATGAATGAATTCCCTGAATGAAAGAGCCAAACTGCAGTTAAAGTCCACCATTTAATAATTTGGCAAATAATTCGACAACAGATGCCCATGTAAACACAGTCACATTGTCCGCTGTGTGTGTGTGTTTTGACTCTGAAATTCAGCGCGCCCAAATAGACACTCCCACACCAAGCCTCTTTTCTTCCTCCGACATTCCCCCCTAAACAGAGCTGGACACGCCCACTTTTCTGACTTATTCCAAAGTAGAGGTGTGAAAACACCCTGCTGAAATGAGGGGGTTTCATGGCCCTTTAATATAAACATATTGATTACCAAGCCACATTATCACATCGGTCAGACAGGCTGACACATCTGTGTTCTTCAATTTGAATGAAGTTATCACAATTATCCGCAGAAGTTTCCACTTCCATAAGCATTTTTATGGGATGGCAGTTTCTTTCTAATTTGTCTTGTTTTGTAAAGCTAGCCTGCATAGCGCAGTGGTAAATGTTTTAAATGATATTAATGTTGCGATTCAGTGATTGCCAATTTTAATCCTATCCTATATTTCGATGCACATGTGTGTTGTGTTTTATCAGGTGATGGGTTGGATGGAAGTGTGGCTTCTCCCAGTACAGGAGAAGAAGATGAATCAGACAGAGACAGGCGAAACAACAAGAAAAGAGGAATCTTTCCCAAAGTTGCAACTAACATTATGAGAGCTTGGCTCTTTCAGCACCTGTCGGTAAGAAAGCCAACCAATTCAGTTAAAAAAAACACTTGAAAACTACAGAAATGTGTTCCATGGAAAAAAATAGCCAGCAAGGGTCGCCCATCTTGCGGTCTGTATGTGTCCTAACGCCCCACTATAGTGAAGGGGACTCTATACTGCTCAGCGAGCGCCGTCTTTTGAATGGGATGTTAAACCGAGGTCCGGACTCTCTGTGGTCGTCAAAAATCCCAGGATGTCTTTCAAAAAAAGTAGTGGTTTAACCCCAGCATCCTGGCCAAATTTGCCCACTGGCCTCTGTCCATAATGACCTTCTAACCATCCCCACATCATAATTGGCTTCATCACAGTAGCTGCATCTTAAATGGCACACTATGCACTCATGCACTATGTACTTATGCATTTACACACTCAACAGCATAGTATATGTACAACCCAGGCTCATTCTGAAAACGTAGTCCTGTGGACGTTTCTGGAGACCGCGAAATACGTCCCAGGAGGTGTGTATTTGTGCAGTTTTTGTTTTCCTGAATCCACGAGAGGCTGTTGTGTGTCTCTCTCGCGAGCGCCATTCTCGCGTAAACCCACAAGAGGCCGCTGTCGAACGATCGTCCGTCCGACTGGCTAAATGATTGACAGGGCGACCGGCTAATCGTGGTAAAAATCGGACGATATACAGTTGAAGTCAGAATTATTAGCCCCCGTGTATTATTCACCCTCCTGTTTATTTTTTTTCCCAATTTCTGTTTAATGAAGAGAAGATTTTTTAAACACATTTCTAAACATAATAGTTGTAGTAACTCATTTCTAATAACTGATTTATCTTTGTCATGATGACAGTAAATAATATTTTACTAAATGTTTTTCAAGAAACTTCTGTACAGCTTAAATTGACATTTAAAGGCTTAACTAGGTTAATTAGGTTAACTAGGCAGGTAAGGGTAATTAGGCAAGTTATTGTATATCAATGGTTTGTTATGTAAACTATCAGAAAAATAAATTGGCTTAAAGGTGCTAATTATTTTGAACTTAAAATGAGTTTTAAAAATTTTAAAACTGCTTTTATTCTAGACAAAAAAATATATATATATATTTCTCAGGAAGAAAAAATTATATCAGACATACTGTGAAAAAATTCCTTGCTCTGTTAAACATAATTTGGGAAATATTTATATATATATATATATATATATATATATATATATATATATATATATATATATATATATATATATATATATATATATATATATATATATTACATTTGTAATTCTATTACATAGAAAAATGGCAATATTTTGATATGTACAGTGACATTTTATATAAGTAAAATGTATATGAACTATTATCTCATATATGTAATTTGCATATATTTCAATATATCAGATTTCTATTTTGGGATCTGTGTTACCATCAGTCTGATCTTGTGGATTTGGTCTCTACATCACAGTGGTGTTTTCATTACTCAGAAATCTTGGAAAGAACCTTTAGTCAATGTGAATCCAGGCTAGACATTGGTCTGCTATGATTGGGCTTACTTACATACAGTACAGCAATGTCAGATATAAAAACATTATCTGGAAAAGGTGTACACGGAACAAAGAAACCATGAATATGGAATAAGGTTGAATAAAGATGAAATCTATTGATAATGTAGTCCAGTTGGGTCATCTTCTGTGGTAATTGATGTCATTTGATCTATCCTGAAACTTTCATCCTCTAAACATGTAATATTGTACATCAGCTTCTACGCATCAAGAGTAATGCAACAGTAATTTGTCATTTTGAGTGCTTGTATCAGTTGATAATAACATCATGTTAAGTAAATGAATACGCATTTATTTCAAATGTAATGTTTGAGTTGCATTTTGAAATGGGATCAATTTGATGTTTGTGTTATATTAAAAAAGCAAGTTTTGCAAAAACGTACAATTTTGGCAATGGTTGGGAATTTTGTGTCTAGAGTTTTTGAAAACTGACACCAGACTTCTGAAATTTCTGGCAAAACGATTGTAAAAAACTGTAAAATAAGTACTAGTATCTAAAAAAATATCTATTTAATAAGTACTAGTATCTAATGAATAAGTATAGTACCAATTAAATAGATACTGGTATCTAATGAATACCTACTAGTATCTAATGAATACCTACTAGTATCTAATGAATACGTACTAGTATCTATTTAATAGGTACTAGTGTCTAAAGAATGAGTACTAGTAACTAATAAAAAGAACCAGTGTCTAATGAGTAAGCACTAGTATATTTTTATAAAGCACTAGTATCTAATGAATAAGTACTAGTAGCATGAAAAGGGCTGCTCGATTTTGGGAAAAATCATAATCACGATTATTTTAGTTAGAATTGTAATCACGATTATTCCAAACGATTATTAGTTGAAGTCAAAATTATTAGCACTTCTGAGAATTTTTAAAAAATAAATATTTCCCAAATGACGTTTAACCGAGCACGGAATTTTAACAGTATTTCCTCTCATATTGTTTCTTCTGAAGAAAGGCTTATTTGTTTTGTTTCGGCTAGAATAAAAGCAGGTGTAAATATTTTGAAACCCATTTTAAGGTCAATATTATTAGCCCCTTTAGGCAATATATATTTTGATTGTCTGCAGAAGAAACGACTGTTATATAATCAACTGCCTAATTACCCTAATTAAGCCTTTGAATCACACTTTGAATTTGAATGCTTGTATTTAAAAAAAAAATCTAGTGTAATATTATGTGCTGTCATCATAGCAAAGATAAAATAAATCAGTTACTAGAAATGAGTGATTAAAACTATTATGTTTAGAAATGTGCTGAAAAAAATCTTTCCATTAAACAGATATTGGGGAGGAACAAGGGTTGCTAATATTCAGGAGGGCTAATCATTCTGACTTATATATATGTATATATACAGTTATTTTTCTCCCTGCAAAGGAAAGAGAAATAAATACAATTAAAAAAATATATAAAACAAACTGTGCTTTAAGCATCTTCACTGTAAGAAAAAACACTTTAGCTACAAAAGTCTTCAGTCAAGAGCAGTGAGGGGTTTTCTCCTTGTTTTATTAATAATGATAAAAACAGGCGGCAGTAGGAATTGCGCGCTGTTACTTTAATGGTTTTGCTTTCACGTGTCTTTTGATCCTCAACTCGTTTGTTTATTATAAAATGAGAGTTAAATATGAAAAATCCCCAAACACGGCGTTTTGACACCTATTTGACCTTTAAGCGCTCACGTTAAGATGACTTTAGATGTCTGCGCTCTACTCGTCACAGTGTACGAATGAGAACAAATGCTGACCACATGCTTCTGACTGTGTCTGCGCGCCGCACACACACAAAAGCATGCGGTCGTTCGCCCTTTTAAGAGCAACAAGTGAGGACAACTGGAAAGGGGGCGGTAAATAATGGAATAATCGTTTATCTCGATTAATGGTTTTTCATAATCGTTAAAAGCCAAAATCGAAATCGGATTTTCAATTAATTGCACAGCCCTATCAGATACTAGTATGGGCTATATATTAAATGTCAAAACAGCTTGCCATATTCTCACAGAGGTCACACCGGTCACCTAAACATTCTTGATTGTTATATTAATAGCATTTTGTTCTCTCTCAGCATCCGTACCCATCTGAGGAACAGAAAAAACAGCTCTCGCAGGACACAGGTCTCACCATACTGCAGGTCAATAACTGGTAGGTAATGAAGTTTCAACCAATAATAAGCATCTCCCATCATGCGGATCTGTTCACAATCATGAACAAATGTGGGATTTTGAACTACTGTAAAATGGGTGAGGGAATTTGAAATATTGTAGTTGTATTGATGTATAAGATTAAATGTTAGAGTCAAAAATGTGGATGTTCTGTTAATGTGTGCCTTCATTTGCTGCATCCATTCAGGTTTATAAATGCCAGACGCAGAATAGTCCAGCCAATGATTGACCAAACAAATCGCTCAGGTAAAATAAAGTATTTTGTATATTTCTTTGTTTATGACTTTGTTATAATATACTGAATAAGGAGTATTTGTGTGCATTTCCTCAGGCCAGAGTGCTCCGTACAGTCCAGAAGGGGCAGCACTAGGAGGATATGGTTTAGATGCTCAGTCCCATTTAGGTTTAAGGACTGCAGGTGAGATTTTTGTGTGCATCGATGAATACATAACTACACTGCCAATACATTGCTCTTGAAAAAAGAAAATTAAAATAGCCATGTGTTGATTTATTACAACCAAACTCATACATTTTTCTCAAACTATATATTATGAAATTATGTTTGGTCAAACTTTAACATTAAAACATTTATACTAAGCAAAAAAAATCACTTATTATTAAGATTATTAAGAAATGCCATTCATTCATTTTCTTGTCAGCTTAGTCCCTTTATTAACCTGGGGTCACCACAGTGGAATGAACCGCCAACTTATCCAGCATGTTTGTACCCAGCGGATGCCCTTCCAGCCGCAATCCAACTCTGGGAATAAGAAATGCCATACCTAATTGAATTTCTTAGGCACACAGCAAGAACAAACTTAATGTAGGTCAATACATTCATTCATTCATTTTCTTGTCGGCTTAGTCCCTTTATTAATCCGGGGTTGCCACAGAGGAATGAACCGCCAACTTTTCCAACATGTTTTTATACAGCGGATGCCCTTCCAGCCGCAACTTATCTGGGAAACATCCACACACTCATTCATACACACACTCATACACAACAGACAATTTAGCCTACCCAATTGACCTGTACCGCATGTCTTTGGACTGTGGGGGAAACCGGAGCACCCAAAGGAAACCCACACGAATGCAGGGAGAACATGCAAACTCCACACAGAAGCGCTAACTGAGCCGAGCCGAGGTTTAAACCAGCGACTCGGCGACCTTCTTGCTGTGAGGCGACAGCACTACCTACTGGGCTACTGTGTCGCCCAGGTCAATTCATGTATATTTTAAATTATGTTTATTTTTATCACTTATTACACTTTACTTTTGCTATAATAAAAACTAAAACGCTAAACTAGCTAAAATGTGAGCACAGTATATAATAATATTATAGTAATATGATAATTTTATACAACCCCAAATCAGAAAAAGTTGGGACAGTATTAATTCATTTTCTTTTCAGCTCAGTGCCTTTATTAATCAGTGTACGCCACAGCGGAATGAACCGCCAACTTATCCAGCACAGGTTTTAAGCAGCAATTGCCCTTCCAGCCACAACCCAACACTGGGAAACGCCCTTACGCTCTTCACACACATACACTACGGCCAATTTAGCAAACCAACAACCTTATAGCTGTGAGGCAATCATGCTACCCACTGCGCCACCGTGACATCCTGGGACAGTATGGAAAATGTAAATAAACAAGAATATGGGATTTCTTAATTTACTTTGACGTGTATTTTTTTAGATGGTGACAGGGAGTCTGAAAAGTCACTAGGTTTGCAACACTAGCTGGCAGTGTATTTGATTGATGTGCTGCGCTCACACCTCGCGCATGTGCAGTACGGAAGGAATGTTCCATTATTAATGGGGGCCCCCGATTTAGAAAAGAAGTAATAACGTTAAAATCCTAACAGTTATAGACAGATTTTTCAACATACGATAGAAAATGTGTAAAAGAGCTATATGAAAATGACTTCTTGGCATTGGTCGGGGGCCCCTAATTCCTCAGGGCCCTAAGCGGCTGCTTATCTCGCTTATTGGTTAAGTCCGCCCCTGAATATTTGCTTGAGATAAGTAAGGACTACTTTGGAAATACTTTAAAGTAACAGTTTACCCAAAAATGTAAATTACTCCACAATGTATTCAATGTATATGACATTTGTCTTTCAGACGAACATGGTTGGAGTAGTATAAAACTGTAATCTGGCTCTTCCATGATGTGTAATGATTTGGGGAGTGGCCGTTTCATACAAAATCTTACAAAGAGGTATACATCCAGTGTAAAGCTAACCTATATGCCACCAAGGGGTTTACGCGTCTCTAATGAAGGGGATGAATGTGTTTTTGTAACAAAAATATGTCAAAACCTTAGATCAGTGGTCACCAGACTTGTTCCTGGAAGGCCGGTGTCCTGCAGATTTTACCTCCAACCCTAATCAAACACACCTGAACAAGCTAATCAAGCTCTTACTTGGTATACTTAAAACATCCAGGCAGGTGTGTTGAGGCAAGTTGGAACTAAACCCTGCAGGGACACCGGCCCTCCAGGACCAGGATTGGTGACCCCTGCCTTAGATGATAAACTAGACTTCTGGCAGCTCCATAATGTTATACAATAACACCAAGACAACTAGTTTTCTTGTTTGTTTTTGTTTTCTGTGGTAAACAGGCTGTGTTTCCATGAGATGGCTCTATTCTTGGAAATTCCATTACAAATGTGTCTCACGTCATGCGTCTTATGACATATTGTAAAATCTTTTGCAAACATGCCACATTTTTTTAAGAATTACTGTGTTTTTATAAACTTTTTTAGTCGCTTCAGATTTCATCTGTTTGCTTTTTCTCGTGATTTTTAAAAACACCATATTAATTAAGTCTCTTTTTCTTCATTTCAAGGACTTCAGGGACTGCCATCCCTGCCCACAGATTACCCCGGGGCACTTCTGCCCCAACCTGGATACTCTCACGCAGGCCCGTCTTTGCACCCCTACCCCGGCCCACACACTGCCATGCTGCTTCATCCACCCCCTCATAGCCACCCCAGCGAAACCCTCATAGGACAAGGGCTTGACATACATGCCCACTGAGGGATGGAAGGGTACATTGTAATCGGACTTTGCAGTACCACAGCCCACTACCCTCAGCAAACCTTCAGGGCATCACCACAAAATGACTATGAGAATGTCTTAAATGCACTGACCTGGCATCATAAATGTATCGAAATGTTCATTTTATGCACTCAGCTCCCACGCGATGCCCATTCCAAATGCCTGACAGACTTGTTACATTCCTTATCAACATTTATTACTATCATCTCATTGCTCTTGATGCACTGTACTCAATTCAGTATTTACTAGTTGTAATGCACATTGCTGCATTTGATTGGATACACCCATGTCTTCCTATGGCCTTAAGGGCGATATGAAATCTCCCTTAATCTAACATTAAGGCCTTCATTGCCTTTCTTGCCTTGCCTCCGAAAACCCTTTTTGAGGAGCACAAACGGAAAACAGCATATACCTCCTCATTCAGGACTCAAATATATCAGAAAGTCCTGAAATTGTCTTCTGAGATAAACAACTGCACCAAATCCTGCTGAACATGGTTAATAAAGTGTAAAGGGTGGAGCTCATGAAACATGACCAGGTCACTTTCCATCCCCAAATTTAAAGGTTTTGCACTGGAAAGCTATTGTGAGAAAATTGATACAGTTTTTTTTTCTTTTCTTCAGATAATTAAGAAACATTTCCAATGATGTTATTCCCTCTCGCATTTTATTTGATTATTATTCCTTTTTTTTCCTCAGTAAATGAGTTTATTGAAGTAAAAAGAAAAAGATTCTTTTGAGTTTGGAGGGAAACGGATCGAGGTGTTCTGGTTAAGTTTTGTGAGATTCATCCATTAAAGTCAGCTAAGAGTCTTTGTCTTCCTAGCTTAGGGACATATGCATTTCTTTCAGTTCTGTTAAAAGTGATTATTTAATATAATTATTCTTTATTTTTTTGTATTTATCTGTTTTAGAAATATGGCTACTAAAACGATAGAGTGACAATAATCCGAGTGCCACGTTTTTTTTTAATATCTCGATATGAAAAAGGTAATATTTTCTTCAGTTATTTGAAGTTTATGTGAATGTTTACCTGCTATGGTCCTCAAAAGCACGTTTTTGGTTTGCTTTAAAGGACCTGACTGGTGCGTCAACACGTCATGCCATTTCAGCCCACTATACTGATGCTTTAATGAATACAAATAATCTCTGATTACATTTTTTGGAGATTTTGTTGGAAAGCAATGAACTTCAGTTTCAGAAACGTTTTCTGTCATTTATTCTGTCTGCATTAAAACACACTACACGACTGTTTATGATAATATGGCAGTTTCTATTATGTTATCAACTTAGTTCAAGCTTGACTTTTTTTGAATGTTTACAAATTTATTTAGATACTTTTCTGAAACCAGAAATATGTCTAAAGCACACACAGAAGTGAAAATAAAATCTATAAAATACAAAAAAATGTGTAGTTTAAAATATGAAACAAGGGTAATTTTGAACAATTCTACATAAAATCTAAATTTTAA